ACACACACACACACACACACACACACACAAACAAACATCCCCTTCACCTCTTGCCAATATTTATTTTTGCACTTGCATAAATATTCAAAAAGACATAAAAGCGCATAATAACTTCAGTAAATTAACATGGAAATTTTACAGATGCCAACCTTTATGCAGTTCGCAACGTAACTTTCAGGACCCGTAAATTCCGTTTCATCCTTTATTTGCAGCCATACAATAAAATAGAGATAGTGGTATAAGTTATGCTCATTTCTTCGATGTTCCTCGAATGTCACAATTTTATTGTCAAACCTGAATCAGTTAGGTTAACATCGAAATTTCTGCAGAACGCATATTTTTCAGCACAATTCTTTATTAAGCGCTTTTTCTGTGCAGCAGACACACACGAACGACCTCTCGACAATATGCATTTTTGCTCACTGTAGTGGCGAGTGCTGCCACAGTGAGCAAAAACGCATGTGTGTGTGTTCGGAAGCGAATGAACTTTGTCACCCACTTTCAATTCGGCACCAGAAAAGCTGGAAAGCTGAAATTTTGGGGACATACTCCCACCCCACGTGTCACCTTCCCGTTTTTAAATCTTCGCTCTTATGCGCTCAAATCTCGCGTACGGATTCCCAGAAAAAGTATGCAAATTTCTTTGGTGGGAAACGATTTCGTGAACCAGACAAGATAGAAAGCTGAAACTTTGCAGGGATATTCTCTGTATAAGTATGAGATAAACATTTCAAATTCAGCTACTGAAGACCTTACACTGTGCGTACGGTCACGACAAAATTCGGTAGTTGGCACTGTGCTAACTCGAAAACTAGCTGGAAAACAGTGGCTGAAATTCTGTCAGAATATTCGTTGCGAAATGGAAAATCGTGTATTTAAATTGAGTTTTGATTTGCACTTGTGTCACGACTTACGTCACGTTAAAAATATTTGCAGCGAAGTATCAATTTCGCTTACATACAAGCTGCGAAGCTGAAATTTCATGTAAGCAGACACGACGAATACTCAATTTTATTGCAAACTCAAAAGCGTGTGCCTTTTGAAGATTTTGTAATCCTCCTCCGACTTTCTTCAAATTTGCATTTTTTTTAGTGAACGAGCATTCATCAGAAAACGACCGGGCTTCATGCAAAAAACTGATAAATATGCACGCTGGAATTCCACGCGGCTTCACTATGCAACATTATCCAGCCAATGCCCTTTCCTCATGCATGCAGAAAGAAGCCAAAACACAGTCAATATGAGCCCAAGCGTTAAATTATAATGCAGGAACTGTTCCTATTGTTAACATTCTGCAAGTTTAATGCGAAATCACATGATCGCACCGGCTAGCCTGGCGCGTTGCATGTTGGGTTTTTGAAATTGTTAGATAAATAGAGAGCGGCGCACTAGAAGTTTCGCCCAGCTGTGCGTCTCCTAAACAAATACTTAAATGCATGGCCTCGTCTAGTTAAATTTGGACCTGAAGTCAATGATCAAGGATGATCTAGACAAGAAGTTGGATTTCAAGTTCTCAAAGTAGCAAATTCAAGCTTCATCGTTTTTTGGTTTTCTGTTATAGAATTTTTTTGAAATTGAGAATGAGAAGTTTTTTTCTTCAAGTTTTTGACCTCACTGAAATTTTTTCGACGAAAATTTAAGCTTCCAGCTGTTTCTTTTTTGAATTAAAAATTTACTCGAATTCAAAGCTGTAGTGATGTGCTTGAGTACGAAGAAATATTACAAGTTATTTTCAGATAAACTGCGCATATCATCTAGCGTTTGTTTTCAAAATTTCAAATTTGTATCTTTTTTATTCGGGTCTGAATCGAGTTTGAGGAAAAGTAGTTCGAAAATTGATTTCAGTTTCAAGGGACGGCATTCAGCTAACGAGTATGTTCATAATTTTAGTCTAGCAGTCACAGTTCTAGAGTTGAGATCACACACACATATACACACAAATGCGCACGCATGCACATCACATGTCTCCCTATAAAGCATTTTTCACGATGTAGTACAAACACGCAGAAAATAATTGCAGGGGAACAGGCACCTTTCTGACTTGGAAAGGTCAAATGCAGAAAATTTTTCATCATCCTGAAAAATGATCCACTATTAAAAGACGTAAACTTCCAACCTCCCTCTTCCAAGGCCACATATAAAACAATTATTCCGCAGTTGATCATCCTTTTCGTTTCTTTCAGCTCTCAGATCTCCAAATGTGTCGATGATGACACCGAATACCAGATTGAGCACTATGACAATCAGAACAATGAAAAATGCCATGTCATAAACAATTCGCGATAGAAATGACTTTTCCTGAAAACTCCAGATATGTCTCAAAAAATTTACCGCAGCTCTAAACTGATTTTGACAATAAAAATAGAAGTAGCAGTGATTTTAGTACAAAAAAGCATGAATAATTTTCTCAAAGACTTATTTGCAGTAGGCGGCATAACCTAGATGCGAGACTTCAAAAATGCTAATTTTATATGCTATCAAGTTAATGCATTAGTTTCTTTTGCAGTTTGCAATATAGAAGCCAACACAGTCGCGTTTTTTTAGAGTGTACAAAAAAAGTTCATCACAGTGCGTCTGCGCGTGTGAAATAGCAGTGCATTTTTTTAGTATGTTTTTTACTCATCCGTCGGTAGCCCTATAAATTACTGAAAACTTATACATCAGGATCAATCGCTCTCGAGTCAATATTAGGACGAATTCCAATTTAGAACTGCGAAAAAAGAAACGGAAACGTTAGCAGTGTCAAAGGTTTTACCGTCAGTGTGGCTCGGATCAAACCATTACCTGGCTTTAGACCGATGATCATGCGCAAGAGTAAAGTGGACTAAAACGAATCAAGACATTCACTCCGCATTATTAACTGAATTAACCCCACAAGAATTTCTTTAATAACAGTTCTTCTCGAGTCAAAAATACCTCGAAAATACCCCTGAGGCCAAAATACTGAGAAAACAAAAAGTTGAAAAATGGATACAAAATTATTATACAGATAAAAGATACAGACAAAAGACTACATTTCCAAAACTTCGCCTTTAAGTTTCGCAGTTCCAACCTTGCTTGAACACACATAAATACGCAAACAGACATATACGTACAAACAAATAAAGTTAATCAGCCTCAGCACATTTTAATGAATTTTTGCACATTTACGTTAATGAAAAAACACACATACACATAACCAAATATGCACATAACATCCTGCCAATGCGCGTTTTTATGCGTTTTTGCTGTGCAGCGCTATAGCAGCGCTATAGCGCTGCTACAGCCAGCAA